TCCTTTGCTCTTTCCCCCCCGGCAGCCCCCCGCGGCAAGCGTGGCTGGAAGCCGTTCCACGCCATCCTGAAGGGGATGATTCTCTACCTGCAGAAGGTAGGGAGCAGGGGGCTGCCCCCATCCGGGGCAGGCTGGGAGCTGGGACAGGCCAGAGGGTCCCTGCAGAGGACCCTCCCCAACCCTGGGCTTTGTCAGAGAGTGGTCACAGCAGTCCCTATGGCTGCTAGAGAGGAAAGAGGGAGCTCTCAAGCGCAGTGTCACAAATCCCATCATAATCAGAGTCTCAGCGTCATGTTTGCTTCAGCCAGGGACCTGATGGCATCCCCTTTTCCAACATGCTCAGCTTTGGGGGGGTGAAAGCAGCCACCGACCAAGGGCCCTGCTAGGGGCCTGGGGAGAAAGGCGACACCATGGGCCTTTGACCTGGGGAGCTTGGGCTGCAAATTCATTCTCATGCGGACGCACTGCCCAGTCCCAGAGAAGTGGGGAAAAAGCCGCAGTCCTCATGTTTCCAAGCCCAGGGATCTGAGGTGTACAGCCCATCTCCTCCTCTAGCCCCCCCCCCCAAGCTGGAGGCAAGCCTGTGGCAATGTGCAGGCAGGGCGACCAGTGCCACCTCATCCCCACCAGCCCTGCAGCAGCCTGGTGGAGGCTGAGCTCACAGCCTCATCGCTGGCAGAGCTGCCAGTGTGAGCACTCACCTAGAGTCCTGGTGACCTCGTAGAGATGAATTCCAGTGAGGTGCATCCTTAAGCTGGCCCTGAAATGCTCCGTGACTTGCAGGAGGAGTATAAGCCAGGGAAAGCACTGGCAGAAGAGGAGCTGAAGAATGCTATTAGCATCCACCACTCACTTGCCACACGGGCGTCTGACTACAGCAAGAGACCCAATGTCTTCTACCTCAGGACAGCTGACTGGAGGGTCTTCCTCTTCCAAGCCCAGTGAGTAACCCCAGGGCTGCTGGGGGAGAGGAGCTCAAGGGGGCAGGCTGCACCATGGAGGCCCTGGGGAGAGCCACCACACTGGTGCTTGCTCATCAGACTGTGGACAGGTGGGTGGGAAGGTCTTAGCACCCCATTGCTTCTCCTGTCCTGGCTCTTTCTAGAGAAAAGGGGGACCAATGTCAGCACTGTGCTTTGTGAGCTTGAGGGAAGAGATGAGCCGAGCAGTAGCTTGAGCCAGTGAGTTGCTGGGTGCAGGGGTCCCAGGTGCCATGGCTGGGCAGAGCCAGGCCTATGGGGACCACAAGTCCCCATACAGCACAAGTCCCTTTAGCTTTGCAGGGCTGGGGTTGGCATGAGGCTGGGAAAGCAGGCAGGGAGGATATTGCTTTTTGAGGCCCTTCTCAGTGTTTTGGCCTTTCCCTGCAGGAACCCGGAACAGATGCACTCCTGGATCACACGCATCAATGTGGTGGCAGCGATGTTTTCTGCGCCTCCCTTCCCTGCAGCCATCGGCTCCCAGAAGAAGTTCAGCCGCCCGCTGCTGCCCAGCTCCTGCACCAGGCTGTCCCAGGTAGGCCACAGCACTGTGGCAGCAACCCACGCAACCGCGCGGGCACAGGA